GTGCAGTAGTAGCAGCAAGCAGGTGAATTCTGTACATTAATATGAATAGACATCTGACTAAAAAGAATAATAGTAACAAACTCATGATGAACCAAAAGCCAGAGATTAAAAATGGGTCTTTAGACGACTTTTAAAAGTATCCAGTGTTGGGGAGGATCTGATATGCAAAGGCAATGTATTCCAAAGTTTGGGGGCAGTCACAGCAAATGCCCGGTCTCCTCTATGTTTTAATGTAGGGATAACAAAAAGCATTTGGTCTGCAGACTTCAAGGATCTTGGGGGAGAGTACCAGGTTAGGAGATCAGCAAGATGTGTAGGGGCTAGTCCATGCAACGACTTAAAAACAAGTATTAAGATCTTAAAGTCAGTTCGAAAGCTGACTGGCAGCCAGTGTAGTGATGGAAGTATAGGAGATATATGATCTCGCTTGCGTGTGTCAGTTAGGAGCCGTGCTGCAGCGTTTTAAACTAGCTGCAGTCAACCGATTGATGAAGAGGTGAACCAGAGTAGAGACTATTACAGAAGTCGAGGCGAGATGAGATGAAGGCATGGATCGCTTTCTCAAAATCTCTGAAACAGAGAAAGGGCTTAACTTTTGTAATTAGGCGAAGATGAAAGAAACTGGTTTTGACTACATTATTTAAATTGCTGTCAAAATCACCCCTAAATTTCTTGCAAATGATTTTTTTATAATTTTCTCAGGGGCCAAGGTCATAATGGTCAGAAGGACCAAAGACAATGACCTCAGTTTTCTATTCATTTAGATTTAGAAAATTTAAAGGCATCCATGCTTTGACATCTTCTAGACAATCAAACAGTCCCTTCAGAGGATTGACAGATTTTCATTTAGTGGAAGGTAAATCTGAGAATCATCTGCATAACAGTGAAAAGAAATTCCATGTTTTTTAAAAATAGATTCCAACGGGAGAAAAAAGGATTGGACGAAGGATAGAGCCCTGGGGGACCCCACAAAAAGGGTTGTCTTTGGAGACAATGTGTCTCTGAATCTAACAGAGAAAGTACGATTAGATAAGTAGGATTTAAACCATTCCAAAGTAAGCCCTTTAATTCCGGCACATTGTTCCAGTCGAGAGATAAGAATCCTGTGATCTACTGTGTCGAAAGCAGCACTGAGGTCTAATAATATTAAAATAGCAGAATCTCCAGAGTCGGTAAAAGTTAAAAGGTCATTAGAAACTTTTAAAAGAGCGGTTTCAGTGCTATGCCAATGTTATTCTAAGAAGGTCTGGAGCTGCAGAAGGACAATTTTCTCCAGCACTTTTGACAAAAAGGACAATTTAGAGATTGGGCGGTAATTTGATTGAACTGTTAAGTCCAGATTCTGCTTTTTAAGGATGGGTTCCACCACAGCATGTTTAGAATCAGAGGGAACAGACCCAGACTGAAGACTGCTATTGACAATAGAAAGCAGACATGTACCAGCAGTGTCAAAAACATCTTTCAGTAACCTAGGTGGAATGATATCCAGGGTACATTTTGAAGGTCTCAAGTTTCTGACAACTTCATTAAGTAATGAAAGGGATACTGGCTCGAAGTGATCAAAAACAGCCAAGGTTGGAGTATAAACACCTGGGTCAGAAATGGGAGGAATAATGTGGGATCTAATATCTACAATTTTATTAATGAAGAATTTCATTAGATTCCAACTTATGTTCACTGCTATATGAGGATCAGCAGTGGGAGGATTAAGAACTGAGTTTATAATACCAAATTAAATCCGAGGTTTATGACAGTTGTTGGACACGATCTTGGAAAAGTATTTTATTTTAGCTGCTCTTACAACTTTCTGGTAACTTGACAGGGATTCTCTAAGTGCCTCAAACGACACTTGGAGATGGTATTTTTTCCATTTTCTTTCCGCTTTTCTAAATGCCCGTCTGCATTCCCTGGTGTCATTATTTAACCACGGTTGGGTTTTAGGTTTTAGATACCTAGTGGTACAAGGAGCAATGGAATCCAGTATTTCCAGACAAGCTGAGCTGAACAAGGAAAGCAGACTATCAGTGGTCGAATGAGTGGTACTGTCAGTAGGTAATGCCGGATTTAGATTTTTGTAGGAATGGGCAAAGCGATCTGCTGTATTTGAATTAATCGTGCAAGATCGGAGCTTGGGCACAACAGATCTACCAGGCTGACCTGAAAAGGGAAACTCAAATAGGACAGGCATGTGGTCCGAAAAATGTATATTACAGATTTCAGTGTCAGTGACTGATAGGCCGTAGGAGAGTATGAGATCCAGGGTATGACCGCGTTCGTGACTTGGGCCTTTGACTGACTGGACAAGATTAAAGGAGTCTATAAGGTTTAAAAAAATCATTGGTCAGTGGGGTATCTAAACAGCAAATATGAATATTAAAATCCACTACGATTAAAACACTGTCATATTTTGGTAGAACACCAGCCAAGAATTCAGAAAAGTCTTGTATAAAGTTCTTATTATAGTTAGGAGGTCAACACACCAGCGCACATAGCACCGGAGTGGACAAGTGGATTTCATATAAACGTATGTTTGTGGATTAAAGGGTAAAAATGTTAAAGGATAAAGGGTAATGTTTTGGTGACAACAACATGACCTGATCAGTGATTTGAGAGTGTAATTTTTTTATGCATATTTGCATCATTATTCTTCCTACGTGCAAACATTTGGAAATGAACACATTGTAGCACATTTCTGTTCTTACAATCAGCCACACAGTCTGCTCTTATCTGAAAACCAACATTTATTTTCACGTCCGCTCATTCCTGACTGTAGAGACATGAGCTGTAGACAGATGCTTCTTTTCCAAAACACGCTTCATTGAAAAATATTGTTTTTGAGGGTTTTTTTAACCCTTAAAACATAACAGAGTTTATCTTTTTTACCATCAACACATTACAATTTTTAGACAAAAATACAACACTGCTTTAAGATTTACATCGAGGTAGAAAAGTACGCTGTACAGACAAAGTTATCATTATAAATAATATAGAAATAGCAGCAGATTTTGCATTTAGTGCAGTATTTTCACTGTTACAGTCACTCTGTAACTTCTCTTTGGTGATTTCTGGCTTCTGTCTCGGAGCTCAGACCAGCTCCTCTGCCGATGGAGCTCTGATCTTGTGTCGACACAGCGGGCAGGTGCCAAACTCCTGAAAAACTCTGGAGTTGCAGTGTTTACATAAACACCGGTGGCCACACGGCAGTGTGATTCTGGCCTCTTTCACCATGCACACCGCACAGGTTATATCTGTGAGCAGAAGAGAGAGATCCTGAATTAGAAAAATGTGACATCAGGAAATGAGACCACACTCTGTGTGAAATGTGCAACTGAAATCAGATAGCGACTTTTGAAGGGACTGTTTTCACCTCCTGGCATTTTCATGTCAAGACAGGAGATGCAGTCATCACAACTGAAGTCTGAAACTGAACCAAAGTGGCTGTAAGCATCAGGTGAGGTGAGCGGTTCAGGTGCAGGACAGGATCTTTTGGTACAAAATAGATCTTTTTTCTCTGAGCCTGCAGCACAGAGAAAATAATATTTTAAAAGTCATTCAGACAAAATTTATCGCTGCCAGAACATGGGAATTGCTGTGCCTTCACAGAACAGGAAAAACCTGCTGTAAGGCAAATATAACTGTAGTTGAACTTGCCTAGGAGTAAAATGGAGCGCGTCTGGCCGTAGACGTCTATCATGGCCCACAGAGGCTGGCTGAGGTCCACTCCTGTCAGCCACTTATACCGCCTGTTGCTGACAGCTACGTATATGCTGCCACCATCAGAAACCCAAAACTTCAGCTCTGAACCTGCTTGGCAGTAGGATTCATTTACAGGCACAGCCCAGTGTCCAGGCTTGTCAGTGAGGTTGGGGATGGCCAAGCAGGGCAGAGGTAGAGATCTGCTTGAGGGTGGCACTGTGGTAAAGCCCACACGCAGAGCTCCCTCCCAGTTGGTCGAATCCCTCTGCACTCTCAGATGAATCTTCTCCTGGATCTTCACTGGCCGGTTGCTGAACACCAGCCCATTCTTGAAGGTGTTCTCAGTCTTCTCTGCGAGTCGACCTCCATGACTCAAGCGGACCTTTTCTCCCACAGCCTGATTGTGGAAGGTCAGAGGACCGAGACAGCGTGAGCTGCATCTGTGTGACACCTCTGACTGAAGAACTACAAAGATAGGAAATGGAAATTAATGAAACCATGTCTGTGTCCTAAGATTTATTCAAGACATATCACATTTACTTAATTAAAAGAAGCTACATATCAAAGTTATTGCTTCATATTTAATAATACATTTAAAGCCAAAGTTTCCTCTTAATAGTCTAGAAATAGATAAACATGTAAACAGAAAACTGCTGTGGTTTCACAAAGAAGCTTGTTTGGTCTGGACTTCATCCAAGCTGAGAAATTCAGTGCTGGAGATTGCAGTGTTTGTTTGGTGAAGTCTGTGTTGCCGTCTCAGTCCACTAGATGGCCTGTGTTGATTTGTTTTCTGTGTTTTATCATCAGTGGAAAGATTTTAATTTCCAAAGAAACAAAGCTTCTAGTTTCTTTTTATAAGAAACTTCAGTGTGCAGCTCATTATTAGCACTCTGTCTTTGAACTCATTTGCTAATCACTTGCTTTATGGCACTTTGCTGTTTTTCAATGTTTGCTTTTGCATTGTCTTGTTTCTATATTATGTTTCTGTAAAAGAATGAAATGAGCTGCTGTAAGTTGATTTTTGCAACCAAACATCATCTTGATAATGATTCCTTTATCAAACTGAGATATAAAATTCTCTGTAAAGACTTACCAGAGTTCTTGTTCTTACTTTCTCTTGCCATCTTGAAGTTGCAAATAAATCTTGTCATGCGAGTCCTGATGGATGATGAGGTTGAGAGTCATCAAGTCATGAGTGTTAACTACCTTTGAATGATGAAGTACGTGAAGTATGAACACACGCCCAGCATCACCAGTAAAGGGAATGGGGAGGGACAGAGGGAGGCACCAAAGTTTGGAAAATTACCTGATGTGAACAATAACATAATTTGGTGATTTGATTATTAGTCATTTCCTCTTTTATTTTTTTTATTCCAATGTTCTTTGCACCCTTGTTAGTTTCGTCAGATTCTCCACCTTGGTTTGAGAAAATTATTTTAATTATTTAATCATCTGTGCCACCTCTGTGGCTTCTCCTATTTCCTGTGTTGTTCTTTCAGTAGTGACGTATTGCTGCTGTCGTTCTAATTTGCTTTTATTCCCCTTTTGAATTCAAGTTTGAACTTTTCTTCTATTTTATACATGTTGTAGATCTTTTGCCAGTTTTTTGGATTTCAGGCATCCTCTGCTCCTCCCGAATGGTTTGAATCCACAAAATGATTGAAACGACCATCGTCTGGATTTAAAGTTTTTGAATTTGGAATTTTTCCAAGAGTTCGGAGTCCTGAATTTGGGGCTTTTTTGAGCTCTTTGTTACAGTGGACATACCAACATTTATGGTCATCTAAATTAACTTGTGTTCACAGTTGGGTGTGTTGGAGCGCCAATATCAGCTAAATGAAGACATCAGGAAACCTAAAGACCAGTGTTGGTCAAGTTACTTGAAAATAGTAATTAGTTACTAATTAGTGACTACTGAAAGTAATCATGTTACTTTACTGGTTACTTTTTTTCAAAAGTAATTATTTACTTTATTACTTAGTTACTTTTTAAAAACATGATACACAACTTGAATATCAAATAAAGCAATAGACATTTTATCCCAATTCTATTTATTCTGCAAAATCCATCATATAAAATTGAATCAAGTGAAAAAGTCTCTTTTAAAAATTGTTTTATTAGTTTTAATCTTTTAACTTTATGCATATTGCATTAAGCAAAAATTATACATGCAAGTCTTTGACTTGGAGACATTTTTTTAACCTACTTTCTGCATATTCCAGCATATAAAATAAAATTATTTTTTTGTGTTTATATTCACTCTTTCAAATAGATGCAAGTAAAACACAGCAATAAATAAATAAAATCAAAGATTCAGTGGCACTAAGTCCTGTCACTCTTGAGTCTATTTTCACCTGTTTAGCAGGAGTGGAGCAGGCGGAGGTTTGCCTGGTGCCGCAGCGGTCATGTCAGTGGGGGGATGCCGGGGTTTCTCTGTGAATTTCACATTCCTGTTCCCACGCAGTGTGTACAGTGGAAGCTAATGTTTTTGTCACTTTTTACGGAATCAAACTCAAAGTAAGGTCAGTACGTCCACGCTTTAAACGCTGGATGGCCGTACTGTCTCCCACACTTCATATTATCCATTGCTGATCAACACACATCTGTTGTTGCCACGGGCGTCGCACGCTCGTACGTCATTGTCACGAGACACTCCCGCGAACAAAATCACGGTTTAGTAACGCAGCGTGCTTACAGGAAAGTAACAGTAATCTAATTACTTTTTTTGCAATAGTAATCCCTTGCTTTACTCATTGCTTGAAAGCACGTTACCTTAAATGCGTTACTGCCCATTTCTGCTCACACTAAAGGTCTTACTGTTGTTACGTTTTCTGTTCACAGATTGATTTAATATTGTTAGTTTTTAACTCATAAACACCAACTTTAAGTACTGAACACAAACTCAAAGGCAGCACAAACATGTCTGATTGTGTTAATTTTAGCCTTCAAGGACAAAGTGCAAACAAATCTTTGCTGTTTCAGTTTATTTTGACCACTTTTATGTAATAATTCACTCTGATTATTTATTTTTAGTTTGATGAAACATTTTATAAATATTGAAATATGTAAAAATCAAGTAATGATGGAACTAGGTTCATTTACTTTCACATTTAAAGAATTATATAAACACATGTTTGTGAATTAAAAGGTAAAAAATGTGTTTGTGTTAAATTAAGATCGCTATGGTTATGTTTGGTGGCCACAACATGACCTGATCAGTGATTTGGGAGTGTAGTTTTTCTATTATCAGCCACACAGTCTGCTCTTATCTGAAAACCAACATTTATTTTCACGTCCGCTCATTCCTGACTGTAGAGACATGAGCTGTAGACAGATGCTTCTTTTCCAAAACACGCTTCATTGAAAAATATTGTTTTTGAGGGTTTTTTTAACCCTTAAAACATAACAGAGTTTATCTTTTTTACCATCAACACATTACAATTTTTAGACAAAAATACAACACTGCTTTAAGATTTACATCGAGGTAGAAAAGTACGCTGTACAGACAAAGTTATCATTATAAATAATATAGAAATAGCAGCAGATTTTGCATTTAGTGCAGTATTTTCACTGTAACAGTCACTCTGTAACTTCTCTTTGGTGATTTCTGGCTACTGTCTCGGAGCTCAGACCAGCTCCTCTGCCGATGGAGCTCTGATCTTGTGTCGACACAGCGGGCAGGTGCCAAACTCCTGAAAAACTCTGGAGTTGCAGTGTTTACATAAACACCGGTGGCCACACGGCAGTGTGATTCTGGCCTCTTTCACCATGCACACCGCACAGGTTATATCTGTGAGCAGAAGAGAGAGATCCTGAATTAGAAAAATGTGACATCAGGAAATGAGACCACACTCTGTGGTCAGAAATGTGCAACTGAAATCAGCAATGTTTAAAGGAACTCTTTTTACCTGTTGGGACTTCTGTGTCAAGACAGGAGATGCAGTCATCATCAGTGAAGTCTGAAACATCAGAAACTGAACCAGCAAGTGAAGTGAGAGATTCAGGTGGAGGACACGATCTTCTAGTGCAAAACAGCTCACGTTTCTCTGAACCTGCAGCAAAGAGAAAAAAATGTTTTAATAGGCATTCAGACATTTATCACTGTCAGAGCATGCTGTGCCTTTGGACACCAAGAAAAGCTGCTGTAAGGCAAATATAACTGTGGTTCTAGTGAACTTGCCTAGGAGCAAAATGGAGCACGTCTGCCCGTAGATGTCTATCATGGCCCACAGAGGCTGGCTGAGGTTCACTCCTGTTAGCTTCTTACACGGCCTGTTGTTGACAGCTACGTATATGCTGCCACCACGAGAAACCCAAAACTCCAGCTCTGAACCTGCTTCACAAACAGATTCATCCAGTGGAGCAGCCCAGTGTCCAGGTTTGTCAGTGAGGTTGGGAATGGCCATGCAGGGCAAAGGTAGAGATCTGGCTGAGGGTGGCACAGTGGTAAAGCCCACACGCAGAGCCCCATCCCAGATGAATGAATCCCTCTGCACTCTCAGACGAATCCTCTCCTGGACTCTCACTGGACGGCTGCTGAACACCAGCCCATTCTTGAACGTGGCCTCAGTCTTCTCTGCGAGTCGATCTCCATGACTCAGGCAGATCTTTTCTCCCACAGCCTGACGGTGGAAGTTCAGAGGACCGAGACAGAGCAAACTGCATCTGTGTGACACTTCTGACTGAAGAACTACAAAGAATAAAAACACAAACACAACAAATTATTTTACAGGCAGAACATGGTTTAGTAAATGAAAATCACTATTGTAACAATATACTTGCATTTAATGGTTAATTAACAGGTTCTATGATCTATCATCAGTCAGATTCAAACTGTGTGAGTGTGATCATTTACTTTAACAAAACATTCTTGTGAAATTTTATTTGTTAATATTTGATCTATGTATTAGTAATTATACTATAAATCATGTTAACGTAACTAATATAGTAGTTCAAGAGTGTTCACTTTTGACAAGTACATGAAGTTTCATCCACGCTTAGTAACCTTAAGCTTAAAGCGAACTCTACAAGTTGCCTCATCTATCTGTCAAAGGTGAGTTGCAGTCAGCTTCGTCTGCAGTTTCAAAGATTTATCTTGCAGGTGTGACTCACACAGTTATTGTGTATACCTTCATCAGTAACAAGCAGACCATTTCCTGTAAAATATAAACTTTCTGTTCTCCCTCTCTTATCTGCAGTGGTGCCACAGCCATAAAACATTTCTTAATAAACAGTTTAGAAAATATCTTTTACACACAAAAAGAAAAAAAAATGCTACTAACATGTGAAATTGAATTTGCATTGCTCTTTCATTTAGTGAAATCAATTACAACTTTTTCTTGTTGCTTTTTATGCATCAAATTCTCTATAAGGACTTACCGGAGTTCGTGTTGTTGCTCTCCTTCACCATCCTGAAGAGATAAGTATTATTTCTCATATGCGTCTGAATAGAAGATGTGATCGCGTCTGTGTGTTGGTCTGGAGCACATGTGGTTTGGAAACAGAAACAATTCCAGCATGACAAGTTAAAGAAGTGGGACGGACGGGAGTGAGGGAGGAGCCATACTTTGGAAATTCACCTAAAATCCCCCCGAAAGAAAAAGACCAGGGTAGTTTTTTGTTTTTTTCCCCCATAGATTACTGTTTGTCTCGTGATTTCTTTTTAGGTACTGACCTTTGGAGTAAAAGTTCAAACAAAAAAGCACACAGACACATTATGATTTGTGTGAATTCTGCTCACGTGCAACTAGTTTCATTTTCATTATCTGTAATTATTTTGTGGCTTAGGACAAAAGACAATGTTCATGGCGAATAAGAATGTGTTTGGTCCTGTATCACTGTCTCAAAAAGATTTTTCAGTATCGTTTTCTTCACTTAACATGCTGCACTCACTGCTGTTTCTATCAGAAATGCAGTGCAGCCTCCTTCCCATTAAACACATTAAATACCAATTATATTATCTTGTTTTAAGATTTGCATCATGGAAATTTTTCACCATATCCAACATATTATTTCCGGAATGACTGTGAGTGTGAACTTAAAGGAGAATCTAGACATGCCTGCAATGAAAGCACGTGACGCTTCATTACACATCTCTGGCTGGTTGTGATTAATCTCTAAAGCGGATGTGTCGCCCTCTACAGGCGCTATGATTGGCTGCTCAGGTCCCGTGACAGGACAAAATTATAGCTTGTAACAGCTGTGAGATCATGACGTTCGGAAATTTACCAGCTCTCCCCCTTTTCCCAAGAAAATCCCAACATTTCGTCACTGATAGACTGCACGTAAAAGCAGCGATGTGTTCCAACGTGTAAAACTGATTGTGAAATGAGAAGAGCGTGTTGTGTACACTAATTATGTCATTCAACTTGTTTTTTGCGCCTATTGGGTTAAGAATGCAATACTTTCTATATGTCATGCAGTTAAAGCATTGAGTACTTTATTTAAAAAACAAAAAAATACAAATAATAAAAGTCATAACCTGATATCTGTAAGTTTACATAAAGGTTTATTATTAAACTGTAATCAAATAGTTAAAGAAATTCCAAGAAACACAAAAAAGAAAAGTCCAGATATGAGGCCGGAAATAGTCCTCCCACAGGACATGTTTAACCTACATGATAATGGGTGAGGAAATTGTGCTAAAGCCATTGCAACACAGAAACCAAGGTCTGCCTGAGTCATTAACTCTTTTCAAAGCAGCCACTGTGCTGCTGCTGTTTCCCAGAAACAAGTCCACAGAATAACTCTAATATAAATCACAACAATTCATTTGCATGATTATAAAATCTGATGGGGGTTTTTATGCCACATAGTTAAATGACACAGTTGCCTGTCCTCCTGAATAGTTTGTTAATGTGCAAAAACAGAGTGGATTACATGGCACATTATTACACTGATAAATAAAATAAGAAATGAGATTTTGCCAGTGAATATGGCATTTAATTTAACCAATGTCCTTTGCCTGACAACTCTGTGTAAGACACATTTTGTTTAAAGAGATTAAAGATATAGATGTGCGACAAATTAAAGTAAACCTCTGTAAGATGCTGGGCCACAGGAGCAACTTTACTGCATTTTTTCCTCCCTTAATTCTCAGTGTCCTAATTCAACAAGGTGCTAAAAATGTTCTTCAGACATTTTGGCCCACACTGTCAAATCTGCAGCAACATAGTTTCTGTGCATCCTTGATGCAAAGCTCCTGTTCCACCACATGTCAAAGGCGTTCTATTAAAATGAGATCTGGTGACTACGGGGGCCAAGTGAGTACAGTGAACTCATTTTCATGTTCAAGAAACCAGTTTGAGATTATTTGAGCTCTGTGACACCCACCAGAACATGTGTGTACTGTGGTTATAAAGGAACAAATGTTGTGAATAACAACACTCAGGTAGGCTGTGGAGTTTAAATCATGTCACTTGGCACTAAGGGGTTCAAAACCAAGAAAATATCCTACCAACAACAAGAAGCCAGGATGGATCCATGGTTTCATTTTGTTTTCATGCCAAATTCTGACCCTACCCTCCAAATGTCTCTGCAGAATCTTATAATGGCAATTCAGTTCAATCCCGTTTCATTTCTATGGCACCAAATCACAAAAACAGTTGCCTCTAGGTGCTTTATAAAGACCTCACGATAATACAGAGAAAACCCCAACAATAAAACAACCTACTTATGAGCAAGCACTCGGTGACTGTGGGAAGGAAAATGGCATTTTTACAGGAAGAGACTCCCTCAGAACCAGCCTCAAAAGCCTTAGAACTCATGTAAATCATCTTCCTTCTCCATTTCGATACTTGCTTTGAACAAGTTGTCTTGCTCGCATCTACATGCTTCAGTTCACTGAGTTGCTGCCTGGTAACTGGCTGTTAGATATTTGTATTAACCAGCAGTTGTAGAGGTGTACTTAATGAAGTGGCCAGTGAGTATATATTTGACTAAGGGTGGTGCTTAGATTGATCACCTTTCTGATAATGCCTCGGTGGAGGTAAATAGATTTATAAACAGGAATAGGAAAGAGGAAAATAAATAATGACCAAATCCTCACACATCACATATTTAAGAATGTCTATCTGTAAAGTCTTTATGTTTAGTTTTTCATTTTATAATTATATAATATACAACAAACATTTAACATTTTCTATATACAAAACTGGACTGTTCTGCTATCAAACTAGGAAACAGGGGAACCCTTCCTCCACTCCTCCTCTTCACTCCAGCTGCACTCACACATGGCAGGCCATCAAAAAATCAACTTGTTCCCACTCCACCTGTTCAAAACGCTATTAATCTGCTGCCTTCCAATAAAAGGCTTGGCTTTCACCGAGGAGCCAATAGAATGGCATTAATGCTGCGAGACCCAGGCCAATCCCAAGCTGCATTCTAATGTGGCCTATCTTTATCAAGGTGCCACTCCATTTCCAGATACTGCTTATTTATGATTTCTGAGGAGGGAGCCAGCGGGAGGCATATGTCTTTCGGAGAACACTAAAATCTGTGTCCAGAGGACTCGCAGGAGACTTCAGATATGGAGCTATCACATGCCAAGCTGTGGATAAGAAGAAATCAAATCTGCGAGTGAAGTTTATTTTTCGGATGTGGTGGCAACTTTGACAAAGATCAGACTTTGCTGCTCGTGTTCCTAATTGTTTGACTATCTGGAGACGGAGGGTGTGGTACCAAACTCCGACCTCATCTGCTGGTGAGAGAGCTCCTTCTTTGGCCACCAAATATCTTTTTCTACTTGGATCTCATTGGATGTGTTGATAAGACCTAGAGGAAGAGTTACCAGACTTCCCATGGATCCAAACATCCAGGGGTCTTTCCTGTTTAACAACAGCCTCAACCAGTTCCCCTCAGACATCAAGGCACCAGTGTGCCAGTACTCAATGCCCAACTCCTTCTACAAGCTCAGCCCGGGCCTGAACAGCCAGCTGCAGCCAGGGACGCCTCATGGCATCAGTGACATCCTGAGCCGCTCCATGGTTGGGGTGGGCTCCTCGGGCACCGCCACCCTGCTGCCCGGATACTCCAGCATGGGGGGGTTCAGCCCCTCTGTCACCAGCACTTCCATGTACTACAATCGAGACTACAATTCCTCACTGGGCGGCTTCTCCAAACCCGGCGCTGAGTGCCCGATGAAGAGTCGCAGTGTAAACTGCTGGGCAGAAAGCAGCTGTGAGTGGAGAGGAGGGAGGCAGCAGTGCACCAACAGTGAGTCTAAATACTGCAGAGCGGGCTCAGCAGCAGCAGCAGCTCCTCAGCACTGTCATCGCACTCTGATCTTCCACTTTAAAAATGGAAACATTATCCAGTAAATACACAAATTTCAGAATCAGATCTGTTATAAACTTGTTATCTATTGAGTTCAGACTCGAGGTTAGATTTTTGATATGACTAAAACTTGTTCTCTCTTTTTGTATTAAAACCTTGAAAATCCATTTATTAAAATGTAACAATTTGTTGTTAATTAGAAGTTGTGCAGACTAAAGGAAAATACAAACAGATCTTTTAAAAACAATTTATTTAATAAACATGTCAAATATTCATTCAAAAGATTTCATTTAATTATGTAGATGATTGAAAAATTATGTTTCATTTAATTCACAAATGGAGACATTTTACTTCGGTTCAGTGTATAAACAACAAATACATGCAGTCTATGAGGGAAATATATATGTGGTCATTTTTTTCCCTGAGCAATGAGCCAAAATGCTGTGGCATTTCAGGCAGAAATTCAGTCCTGTGTCATATATCCGTTTCCTGTAATGTGTTTTTATTTATTTTTTTTTTCAGGCAGTGGTCCTTTTGGGGAGATGTCCAGCAGGAAAAAACACACCAGACCGACATTTAGTGGACATCAGATATTTGCTCTGGAGAAAACTTTTGAGCAGACAAAGTATTTGGCAGGGCCAGAGAGAGCGAGACTGGCTTATTCTCTGGGGATGACTGAATCACAAGTCAAGGTAACGTCGCCAGAATCTGCTTACATTTGAGATGAGTGTAAATAAGATTTTTATTTTTGTGTGTGTTCGACAGTTCCACTGATATATATTCCTTGTGGTATATTTGTTTTTTATACCCAGTAGTGTTGACTTGTTTTGAAAGCTGCCACACAAAAAAGCATACATGTCGTGTGTAAATTCAAGTGCAGCGATAGAAATCTGCAGAGCATATACCAGCACATACTCACCCTCAAGCAGAAATGGGGACACAGATTATTTTTCCATACCTTTTCACGTAACACAATGCTTAAAAGAATACTCGATAAGCTGCAGGGCTCCAGTCTACAGGAGTTAGATGACAACTCCCCCGTGCGTTGTGTGTTTTCAGGTTTGGTTTCAGAACCGGCGCACCAAGTGGAGGAAGAAGAGCGCCTCTGAGCCCAGCTCCACACAGACCAACCACTCGGGGCCGGCCGGAGAGGCCTCGGAGAATGAGGTGGAGGACGAGGAGTACAACAAGCCTCTAGACCCCGACTCTGACGACGATAAGATCCGATTGCTGCTGCGCAAACACCGCAGGGCTTTCTCTGTCCTTCGCCTCGGGCCGCACCACATCTGATGCACTTCCTGCAGGCTATAGGCTACACAGGCACACACAGAGACACACGTACAGGCATAAAACTCTCTCAGCACATATGCATGCTGTAATAAATTTCAAACTAGTTTGCAATACGTTTAACTGCTGAGCTGTTTCGCATGATCGGAAAAGGCCCGACAAAAAACATTAAAAGGTCGAACTGACGCAGAGTCTTTAAAAAGTTACTGTAAAAAATCGATATCTCTGGCTTGTTACACAGTTACTTATGTCACAGAAAGTAACCTTAAGTTATTCCTGCACTCCACCTTTGAACAGCTGGGTCGTTTTCAGTTATGCGTATTTCAAAATAAAGCTCTTCTAAATCCTTGTGTGACTTGCATAATGCTGTCGAAATGCTTTAGTAAACTCTATATACCATAAAACACTAAGATCACAGAGCCTTCGCCCCTAAAGTAGACGCTAAAATTAAAAGGCAGTGTGAATTTTCTGAATTTACGTTTGAGTATAATTTCCCAGAACAAGGAGATTTTCCGTGATCGTTACAAAAAGGCCAGAGAAGAGAATGCGTGATCATATGACACGCATTCTAACGTATACGGTTTCCAACAAACTAGAAAGGTAGACTTTTTAAAAGTGGGGGTGGGGGTGTGAACAATAAAAGGTAAGCAGACAGTGCTGACGTGCTGTAAAGTGTTTTAATCGTCTACAGTTTGTTTGCTTTAATTACATTTTGGCTTGCAGTTGGCTCAAATCCAGGTCTTTGACTTTGCTTTGTACTCATACTTACTTTTTAACCACACTGTAAAAATATCAAGGTGTATGATATAAAAAAACATTACCGTGCACATTAAATTATTATTAATTATTTATCAGACATGTCTTTTTTGTCTTTTGTAATGTGAAAAATCAAACTTAAATGTAGACAATTTGGGTCTTGAGTTATGCTGATGTGGTAGCTGGTTAAAGGGGCCAAAGCAAAGGCACAAAAGCTAAAGAAGGTCAAAGGTCAATTCTAGTGTGATTTACTAGTGTGGTGGGGCTTAATTGAAGACAATGACCTCTGCAACCCATTTCAACTTCAAATCAATACCAGCAGAACAGCTTGGTCACCATTTAGGCTCAGTGACTTGAAGCTGGCTGTGGTTTATCCAGCTGACAGGATATAAGGTCTGATGACTGTGTCCGAACAAAAGCATGGGAACGCCGCTAAGACAATCACATTTTGCTTCAAAGAAAAGTCTGAAAAAAAGGTAGTTGTTCTTGCAAGTGTTAAGAAAGATGTGTTTTGGTCTGGCACACAAGTTCAGACTCCATGTGTGGGTGAGAGAATTCCTTCTCTGACCACCAAATTTCATTTTTCAATTGGAGCTTGTTCGCTGCGTTGCTAACCAGTCCGACCAGCTCCTCTCACACCTCAGTGTGCCAGTACAAAATACCCAACTCCTACATGCTCAGCCTCACATCAGTCACGTACACGAACAGTCAAAAAATGTGATTGTTCTTATCTGAGTGTCAAAGTGACAGAGGTGGGTCCAAGTCTTTTATTCTGAAAAACATATTTTGGTCTCTGCTGTTACTGATATTATCTGTTTTTTTTGTTTTGTTTTTGTTGTTGTTGTTGTTTATTCTGGACTTAAATCTGTATCTGAGTCCAACTGCTGCATCAACACAAAGTGAAAAAAGAAAGAATCCTGACTGTGATTCTCAGTCTGAAGCGCAGGTTTAATATTTCCTCAGTTTTAGCTGTCATTTTGCTCTTCTGACCCAAAGTAACCACAGTTTTATTACAGTAACTAAATGCAATAACACACGCAGACACTAATGTAAAGCTTGTGTTACTTGGACAGGCTAAATTTGACATGATCTGACATTTATTTTAATGTGATCAACACAAAAGTATATATATACAAATATAAGTGAGAATATAGTTTACTTATAATATTTTTATAAGTCATTAGAGTAATAAAAAAAGTAACTTGGTATACAGATAAGACAATAGATACCCTGTCAGGGTTAACTGCTCTCAGGAAATGAGGTCATTTACATAGTTTACAGCCTTTGCTTTCCCATAAGAGGCGTGACTTGATTGTAAACCCAAAAAACAAAAGTGCAACAAAGGGTGATACTTTATTTACAAAAATGAAATATCACAAATGTAGTGTTTATAACCAGCTCCACTCCTGTGACAAAGCATTTATCACAAACAGACATTTGCGTTACTCTTTCTCGTTGCGAAGAGGCTACAGTCACACTTTACAAACATCATGCCAAAGTTCTGAATCTGGGCATCAAAAAAGCATGAATATAGGAAAATGCTCTCCCATAAAACACCCAAAAAGCAACAAACACACTTTAAACAGAATCCATTAGTCAAAATTGTCAAAGCCTTGTTAACTCACACATGATATTACTACACTGGTACTGCAGTAAGAGACAAGGATCAAAGATAAATGCAATAATTCAAAAGCAAACAGCGCCCCCTCTGTTGAGTGTGGGTACACAGGTGTGATTATGCACAGGATATATTTTTTTAAAATTCAATTTATTTGATGCCAGGTAATCAAAACAGACGTTCTTCTTAACTACAGCTGTAGGTAAACACTACAGCATAACTACAGCGTGATTCTTTTTGGCAATGAAATACAGCTGACGCCGACCGCAGCAGGGTGAAGTCTGACCAGACATCCTGCATAGTAAACTGGAGGAGGACAGCTCAAATTAATCGGAGAAGAAATGCAAAGTCAAGGTAATAAAGCACTTGGTATAATGTGTATAATACAGCTCGGGAAATAAGAGAGATACACAAGTTCATTTTGGATGCTGCGGTAATCCATTCAGCTCTCACCACTGCTGCTAAAATGTTACTGGCCTTTTTTTCTTTTGCTTGTCTACTTTCATTTCATCATAACACCACTATTAAAAATCCAATCTGTCATGGCTGGAGCTGATGTGTATGAAGTAGCAACCTGTATGAAAAAAGGAAGGAAATCTGTCACAAATCCTGTTTTATCAGCGGAGATCATCCACACATGACACCTGGAAGCAAAGACAGCTGTGCTTCCCTCGTCATTTAAAAAATGCTATGGTGATGGCAAAGCAAAGATGCATGTACTAAATAGAGCATAAAAAACTAACTAAAAGCGTGCACACATGGCCACGAGGGTTTGATATTTCCCTTTTCAAGACACCACTACTACACAAAGTGTGGTTCATCATATACCCAGTACTCTCCTGAATCTTTTGTTAATTGTTGCTTAAGTTGGGTGTTTTAGAATATTTAAAAATGCCTTTAGTTAGGGCCAGTGAGAAATGAGTAAATTGACATTCATACAAAGTTTGGTTATTTTCCGACACTGCCTGTAAAATGGCATTGAAAAAACATGAAATACAATCAATTGAGCTAAAAATGATTTTTAAAATTCTTGATGTGTCTCATGAATGTGCAGCTGCAGGTAGGATTTGCAGGATTATCCCTGGTGACTCCGAGGTTTCGGATAGAGGGGACTTTTAAAAAATCCCAGAGGAAGTGGTGAATAGGAACAACTCTCAAAAACTCTTGACACGTCTTGATAAATCTGGGTTACATGATACAAGAGCTGTGGTCAGCAGTGTGTGGCAGGGAGCTTAGCTGAGGCTGAGTGAAACGCCGGCTTATTTTTGGTGGCTGATGGGACGGTTGTAGTGGAGAACAATCACACTGATCAGCCTCTGAGGATGCTGTGGTTACAGACCTGCAGCAGACAGAAACACACTTTGTAAATGAGCACTGAAAACCCTTTCTAATTGTTGTTCACACACACATTGTTGTGCACGCACACATTCACACAGCTAACACACTCTGGTGGCTAGAGGGCAACTCGGGGTTTAGCATCTCGGCCAAGGATACTTCAGCATGTGGACTGGAGGAGTCGAGGATCAATCTACCGACCAGCAGACGACCTGCTCCACCACCAGATCTTCAGCTACTGTTTAACCAGTGTGGATTACAGTGCAAATACAGGACACAGTGGGTTCAGACATCTAAATGCTATTGTAAGAAAATCAACTCTAAATTAGCGTACATAAGACTGACTGTCCTGCAAAAGCCATTTCTCAGGTCAATGAGGTAAAATTAACTATGATTTTTAGTATCATTTGAAATGTAAACGGTTACATAAAAAGCACACCTTGCAAGAGCTAAAATGTAGCCTCAAAGTACTAGCGGTAGGCTAAACCTTTCATATGCTTTGAAATGTCAAAAACAAAAAAGGTGATGGTTGTAGCCTCTTCAAGCACTCCCATTGTGTGGATCTCATCATTTTGAAGCTTTCTGAAGAAGGACAATCATGAAAAGGCAGTACTTCCTTAAAAAAATAAATTGAAATGGCAGCAAAACAAAATCATGGCCATAAAAATGCCAATATACTGCCCCGCACAATGAATGTGTCTCCGGCCAGCCATCCATGTGGCAATTAATGAAAAGCAGGCCAGCATTACACCTAATGTGTAGCCACAGTGACAGCGAAGAGGATTCAATAGACATAGATCAGCGAGAGTGCAGATCGCCTGCACTCCAACTACGATGTGCACAAAGGATCTCTTATGTCCCGCACGCATTACTCTTAGTTCATATCCCGACTCCACTGGGCCAGTAGGGTTATGGCTCTCCAGGGACCAGAGAAAGATTACTGTGCTCACTCTCTCACACTGAATCCATTCACTGGAATTACCACATCGACTCAGCTGCACTTGCACATGCAGTACAGAACACACACACACACACACACACACACACACACACACACACACACACACTCACA